AATACCATAGTACAACAGGAATGTCAACGGCTTCTGATGGTAAATTTTAGTAAGGAATGGTCATGAATACAGACAAACAAAAAACAGAGCAAGATTAATATCCTTTCTGTCCTTCATTTGGAATTAAAATACTCTTAAGATCTTGGATTTTTTTTTTTCTTTTAAGAGAGAGATTTTTGATATGCGGTGCATGTGCTCACCAGAGAGACAGAAAGATGGAGGGGATGGGCATGCCACAATCCCTTCTTCTCCATTCTCCTCTGGGGATCTTGGACACACACGTACACATGGCTGATGAGACTTTTAAGGTGCTGAGTCCAGGACTGGAATTGTAGTCGACTCTGTGGCAGTCCGGTGACGTAACCACATCATCTGCTGGTCTTGGATCTGACTTTTTAAAAAAATATTTACCATATGTATGAAACACTGGTTTCTAAGAAGACCTGTGTACAATCAGATTACTGAGCTCCACTTACAATTAAATATTGATCATTTGTATAATTTTTTTGAGAGTTGTTTTGCTACAGAGCGTGTGCACGCACCAGAAAGAGAGACAGAAAGCGAGAAATCACCCCCAAGGTTGATGGTCACGCTGCAATCTCTTCTCCATTCTCCTCTCGGGATCTTGGGCATGCACACACACATGGCCGGGGTGAGTATAAGACGCCGGGTCTGATGGGACCAGCAGTTAGCATAATGGCTATGACACTGGACTTCCCCGTAGTCCACCGCAGTTTGCGTCCCGGACCCGGTGGCTTGAAACTCACGCCGGGCACGTGTGCATGCATGCCCAAGATCCTGAGAAGAGAATGGAAAAGAAGGGATTGCAGCGTGGCCATCCCCCTGGGGGATGATTTCTCGCTTTCTGTCTCTCTGTCTCTGTCTGTCCGGCGGGCGCACGTGCCTTATAATGAAAACCTCTCCCTGCCCCCAAAAAAAAAGACGCCAAGTCTGGGACTCAAACCACAGTCGATTACATGGGAGTCCAGCGATATAGCCATTACACCAACTGTTGCTCCCCATTTGTGTAATGTTCTAAAGACTCATATTCATTCTAGTCTGACTAGTTTGGATCTAGTCTCTGAGAGTGGAGGCATCTTCTTCCTCACTTACACTTGAGGATAGCTTATGCCTGATTATATCTGTTTTAAAATGTTAGAACTATGATCCTGGACCTTTTCTCTCACTCTTATCTGGACCCCAGGAGCCAGCATCCATTTTAACTTTAAAATTTTTAACCAGCATCTAGCCAGATGGTCTGGTGGATCCTCACGCAAGTTTCATAAATGAGGTAATAGTGATTCATGCATACTTTGTGCATAGAGTCTGATTCTCACTAATTCGTGTCCATAGAAGGAAGAATAATCCTTCTCTTTTTGCCATTCCACCCTTCTTTCTTGAAAAAAAAAAAAAGCAGTTAGGTTTATCTTGGTTTACCTCTGACATTCAATTGAAAAATATTTATTCAATCTGATTGTGTCCTACATGTTGGAATATAAAAACAAACGGGGCTGTCACAGATCTTAGTCTAGCGAGGGGAGACAGATGCTCAAACATAGTCCATACTGCATACTTAGGGCTGTAGCTTGGACAGCTCCAGCACTAACAGAGCACACTGCACGGATACCGACTCTGACCCGATGGCTGGAAGGCTTCCTTGGGGAAGTTGTGTCTCAGATGAAACTGGAGGATAAACAGGCATTATGCCACATGAAGATAGGGTAGAATATAGTAAAGGAGTTCCAGGAAGAAGGGGCTGGAGAGAAGAGCATGACAGATTAAAAATCTGAAATTGAAGATTGCTTTTAAAAAGGGAAGGAGGGAATGCAGAGGCGAGAGGGGAGGAACTGGAGCCAGGAAGGGAAGGCTAAGTAGTAAAAGGTCTGAGTACTACTTGAGGGAATTCAGACTCGAGCCAAAAGGTTAGACGTTTCTTGCAGTCGTGTATTTTAAGTCTGTGTTGTGACTATCATTGCTGAGTTTTTATTATTTTCAAATATTTTAGATATATAAAATATTCAGAGATCCAAACATAAGAATTTCTATGGTAAATTTCTTCTGGAATTGAGCATGATTAACTATCATCAATTGTTTGCACATTCTTTTATTGGAAAATTAGAACTGGGAAAAAACACTAATTTTACTGTATAGAAAGCTGAAAGCCCATTGTGTTTTGCATTGTTTCAAGGGGTTAAATATAAATAAGTTTTTATCTTTGTTTCCATTTTAGTTTCCTTATCGAAACTGTTTTGACGATATTCACTTTAAAGACTGGGTATAAGTCAGGTGTATAATGTGTATATTTCTTTTAGGTTTTTGCCATAGGGCACATGTGCTTGCCACAGAGAGACAGTCAAGGAAAAGTCAGAAATGACTCTCCAGAGGGATCGCCATGCCACAGTTCATTCTCCTGCATTCTCTTCTCAGGATTTTGGACATGTGTGGTCACATGCCCAGCATGATTTTCAAGTTGCCAGGTCTGGGACTTGAACTGTGAAAGGCGATGTGGGACTCTATGCCATCTGCTGGCCCCCATCGCTTAAGTTTATATAACTTAACGTGGAGACATCGTTTGAATCTTCTAAGTCTTGCATTTTAATGAGTTTGTACTTTATAAAGATTTTAAGAAACAAACACTTGAGGGACACAAAAATGGGAAATTAATTGTTGATGATAATATGTATGGTAATATTTTTGATCGAATCAATGTACAGTTTATTCAGGATGGGAAATTAATTTGGTATGTTGTAGTGATGCACAGTGATTGAATGTAGAATTAGTAAATAAATAAATTTAAAAAGAAAAATTTATACTTTTATAAAGAGAATTCATTGATCAAGACAGAAATTCCAGCAAAAAGAAAAATTACATTTAAGTTTTTGAAGTTACAATATAACCAGAATAGGGCCAGCTGATGTCATGATGGTTAAGGTGGCTGAATCCCATGGGACTGACTGTACAGTTTGAATTCTGGATGGACTCGGTAGCTTGAAAAACACACTTGTTTTTTTGTGCATGTGTGTCCAAAATCCTGAAAGAAGGGAGAAATGAAAGAGAAGAGATTATGGTGTGATCATCTCCCTTGGGGGGGTGTTTTCTCTCTTTCTCTCTCACTCTCTCTCTCTCTCTATCTCAGTCACTCTATTATGAGCACATGCATCCTCTAGCAAATTAAAAAATATAAATATACAAATAAATATAAAGTGTGTGTGTGTGTGTGTGTGTGTATAATCTCCAAAAGAATAACCAACTGCTTAATTATTCTTCACTTCTGTGGGAATTCTTGAATAATCAATAGTCAAGATGAATAGGTATAGTTATATAGAAAACTATCTGAACTATATTTTGAGTATCAGTATTGTCTTTTTCTGGTATTTGAACTCTGTGTATATATGGGCACACATATGTATGTTGGAGGACTTTATGGTCATATGCCATGGATGTATGAATATCTCCCTCCGCTCTCTAAGGGATTAACATTAACTTGCATACAACAGGTAAAGCAAACAAGCAATCTCAGTATCTTAACAACTCCCAAACACGAACTGAACAAATTTGACATAATGGAAGAGGAGATCCCACCAAATTCGTAAGAATGAATTAGAAAGTAGGAAGAGAAAATTTTTACCTAATCTTGCCTTTTATCTTTGGACATGAATACGTTTTACTCTTTAGATGCAACATGGTCAATGGCAGTTAGTCTATACAAGCAAAATGCTCAAACTGGACAAAAAATATAGGAGAGTTAAGATACTGTGATTTCTGGGGCCAGCAGGAAGTGTAGCAGTTAAGGTGATGAACTCCTATATGGCCAATCACAGTTTGAGTCCCAGATGCAGTAGCTTGAAACACACCAGGTGCGTGTGCATGTGTGCTTAAAATCCTGAGAGAGAATGGAGAAAAAGGGATTGTGGCATGGCCATCCTCAGGGAGGAGTGATTTCTTGCTTTCTTTCTCTCTGTCTCTCCTGCAAGTGACCATACCCTACAGCAAAATCTCGTTCCCTCCCCCCCCAAAAAGTAAATAAATAAATATATATATAAGTAAATAAAAGAGACTATGAGTTCTCTAGGATGTTGTGCATATAAGCTTTTAATAGGTTTCCAGCACAATTGGGGGAAAATTGAGAGTTTAAATTTTTTAATGAAGTTTAATATGCAACATAAAAAAAGAAAGGCAAACTTTCAACTTGACTATACACATTTCACATCTTCAGATAACATTCAGTAGTTTTTAATATTAACTTGAATATATTACATTTAAATATTTTAATTATTTGCAGATAGTCTTCCAGTAACATAATTAATTCCTTGCTTTCATCAAAAATCTATAATGATTACTCTTTCAAATAAAGATTTTGCACTAACATGACATAATTATGTTCAATGTTCAAAAACAAAAATCTTGAATACATGTCTAATTTTTAAAGAAACCAAAAGATGGTCTTTTCTGAATAATATATTTCAGAAAGACAGAACACTCTTCAATACTGCAGTGGAAATTATTTGAAACACAGAACTCCTCTTATACCATGCTATATCTTTCTCTCTAGAACATACTAAATGTATCCTCCTGAGTTCAGTTTCAAGTCTTTGGAAAGGACATGGTCTTAAGAAATTAGAAGGAAGGGACCAGCAGTTGGCATGATGGCTATGTCACTGGACTCCCATGTAGTCGACAGAGGTTTGAGTCTTGCACCCAGTGACTTAAACTCATGCCAGGCACGTGTGCATGCATGCCCAAGATTATTCTCTCTGGGGGGGGGTGATTTATCGCTTTCTGTCTCTCTCTCTGTCTTACTGGCGAGCACATATGCCCTATAGGAAAAACCCCTCAAAGAAAAAAAAAAAAAAAGAAAAGAAAGAAAGAAAGAAATTAGAAGGAAAGTTAAGCTCCAATTCATAAAACATCAGTTTCCCCATGGGAATAGTTGGAAATCATATCTTAGCAGCACTTGTTTAGCTTCATATTCTAAAAAATAACATTGGAAGCAGAAATAGTGGGCAAGAGGCTGATAAAATGACATTGAATGACATAATTATCATTAGTCTTCATAGAATGCTTCTCGTATTCTAGATCTACAAGATGTGAAATGAAAATCCTTCACTGCCCAAGAGGTAGATAATGAGCCCATTTTCCAGATAGGAAACTGAGGCAGTGAGATGCCTTGCCATATACTATAAAAATAGTCAGCAGATCACTCAAGATTAGAAGCAGGAGGGTCTGGTTGTAGTTGTTTATATGGCTGCCCAAAACACATCACTGGAATGATAAGAATAATGTTGGTCCATTATTGCAGTCTGTGTCCATGAAGAGGTGACAGAGGACTGAAACTCTACTGACACTTGATGGCACATCTGGTCTCCAATGTCAGACCAATGACATAAACTTGAGGAATGATTATTTACAATGACCCCCCTCAGATTCTGGATGGTAGTTTATGCTGAAACTACATAGAATGTATTTCAGTAAATAAGATCAAGACATGAAAAACAAAATTATAAGACAGCTAACGCAATCATGAAATTACAACTTAAGTTGAATATTTTTACAGTTATTCTTTACAAAGAGATGTTTATGAATGCAATTAAAAGTAAATGATCAAATAATTGTATTTGAAATTTAGTTTACATCTCTATGCTGATGCAAGCCTTCATCTGCATCCCCTTAAATCAGGAGAGAATAAGCATGATGTAATTTTGCTTCACATTATATCAAATGCACCTTTCTAGAGTACAAAAATATATACATATCTACTGCAAATAACTTACCAAGCTCCTCAAATACATTAAGCACTAAAGAAAATTTGATCAGTTACCTAGCTATGTTATTAGCCAAACAAGCAAGATGGCCAGAATGGGGCTCCCCTTGGTGTGAGGTGCAGGAAAATAAAACGTTTAGTCCTGTAGGCTCATAAGAATGACATCCATCCAGTTACTGGGTGAGTATCCAGTACATTAGGGACACACTAACATAGATGAAACATAAAATTATCCAGTTTATCCTTGTGATTGGCGGCCTGCAGGTACCTGTCACATGCAGGATGACACTGGAAGAGAGAGTGCCACTAGAGTTTTGGGCCTCAGCCACATAGAGACCTGCATTGGCCTCTCTCTCTGTCTTACTGGCGAGCACATATGCCCTATAGGAAAAACCCCTCAAAGAAAAAAAAAAAAAAAGAAAAGAAAGAAAGAAAGAAATTAGAAGGAAAGTTAAGCTCCAATTCATAAAACATCAGTTTCCCCATGGGAATAGTTGGAAATCATATCTTAGCAGCACTTGTTTAGCTTCATATTCTAAAAAATAACATTGGAAGCAGAAATAGTGGGCAAGAGGCTGATAAAATGACATTGAATGACATAATTATCATTAGTCTTCATAGAATGCTTCTCGTATTCTAGATCTACAAGATGTGAAATGAAAATCCTTCACTGCCCAAGAGGTAGATAATGAGCCCATTTTCCAGATAGGAAACTGAGGCAGTGAGATGCCTTGCCATATACTATAAAAATAGTCAGCAGATCACTCAAGATTAGAAGCAGGAGGGTCTGGTTGTAGTTGTTTATATGGCTGCCAAAAACACATCACTGGAATGATAAGAATAATGTTGGTCCATTATTGCAGTCTGTGTCCATGAAGAGGTGACAGAGGACTGAAACTCTACTGACACTTGATGGCACATCTGGTCTCCAATGTCAGACCAATGACATAAACTTGAGGAATGATTATTTACAATGACCCCCCTCAGATTCTGGATGGTAGTTTATGCTGAAACTACATAGAATGTATTTCAGTAAATAAGATCAAGACATGAAAAACAAAATTATAAGACAGCTAACGCAATCATGAAATTACAACTTAAGTTGAATATTTTTACAGTTATTCTTTACAAAGAGATGTTTATGAATGCAATTAAAAGTAAATGATCAAATAATTGTATTTGAAATTTAGTTTACATCTCTATGCTGATGTAAGCCTTCATCTGCATCCCCTTAAATCAGGAGAGAATAAGCATGATGTAATTTTGCTTCACATTATATCAAATGCACCTTTCTAGAGTACAAAAATATATACATATCTACTGCAAATAACTTACCAAGCTCCTCAAATACATTAAGCACTAAAGAAAATTTGATCAGTTACCTAGCTATGTTATTAGCCAAACAAGCAAGATGGCCAGAATGGGGCTCCCCTTGGTGTGAGGTGCAGGAAAATAAAACGTTTAGTCCTGTAGGCTCATAAGAATGACATCCATCCAGTTACTGGGTGAGTATCCAGTACATTAGGGACACACTAACATAGATGAAACATAAAATTATCCAGTTTATCCTTGTGATTGGCGGCCTGCAGGTACCTGTCACATGCAGGATGACACTGGAAGAGAGAGTGCCACTAGAGTTTTGGGCCTCAGCCACATAGAGACCTGCATTGGCCTCACATACCTTCGGAATGAACACCGAGTGCCTCGTCTCCTTGTGCAAAACCTGTAAGTGCCCATCTGTAGACAATTTCTGGCCCTTCTTGTACCTGAAGCAAAGAGTCAGTTTTTAAAGTCAGGATGGCTGTTAATTCACATCATTTCCCAGTACTAACAACCACTGTTAATAGACCTATTACCACCGCAATATTCTCTAGTATTAGCAGGGACTTTGTAGCTACAACAAATTCCAGTGGAGCTATTTTTCTTTCAAGAAGAAGTTGGCAACTGGTGGTCAGAGAATCGCTTTGATTGGCTCAGACCACGTTTTTTAAAAATAAAAATTTTGACAACATTTAACAATTGGAATATTGCATATGAAAATTCAAATATCTAGCTGCTCTTATAAAACAGACCATCTGGTCATGCTGGGCCACCATTTGCTCATGACAATAATTACCTAGAGTGTAAAATGGTACCCTCATATCTGGCCTGCTTCATTCATTCTGTTCGCTAAGGAACAGCAGCTGCAACTCAGAATCTGTAATGAGGTGAGACCCATCTGCCCCATCACGTTTGTGTCACAAGTTCCACATGACAATACCAATGTACTGCTCTAGAGAAAGGTATTTATACATCATTTCCTGGTGAAATGAGTTGATTCATTTTTTGTGAGTTAATTTCATTAGAAATAAATTACTTCTAATTATAAAAGGTACTTTTATATAGCCAATGGATTGAGGATGGTAGGGACATATTTCTGGAAGTTTCCTATGAACATGGGCATTTAACTATATCTTTCTATAAAGCAACTAATTAGTTTATTTTTAATATTCCGGATTCCCATTTATTTACTTATGTTTGTGTTCTTCCATGTAAGGAGTGATGGTAAACCCGCATCATTCTCAGTTGTTCCCATTGGCTAAGTGATAATTTTGCATTTTTCTGAGTGTACTAAGGATGCATAATTCCGATAGATTGTTCGTTGTTAATTAAGAAAGATTGTTGTAAATCTATGACAAAATATTTTCTCACAGTATTGCAATAGTTCTTCGTGTATATATATGTATATATATTATATATATAAAATATTGCTATAGTACTTCATAAATATAATATTACAATAGCTATTTATATATATATATACTAGTTCATATATATGCATATAATGTATGTTGCATTGGTTCTTCAACTATATATACTAAAGAAGTTATTGTGTGAAAAAAGAAGAGACACTTCAGACAACATTTTTCTTGGGGGTGAATGATATTTAATAATGAATTAAATACCTTTTTATTTCATAAATATGAAATCCCTAATCTGTAAAAAAAAAAGAAAAAAGAAAAACCCATGCACGTGTATATAACAAAATAAAATAAACGCATACGCATAAGCAGCTACACTGTTAGCACAGGTGCAGTTTCTTTTGAGAAATCAAAGTTCTTGTAAGTTCTTTAGAGAACCATTCACACTTTGAGTACCGTTAATGAGCACACACCATATTGAAATGGTTAACTTAATGTCTACTGAAACATTATGATAAATAAATGCTTTCTTACTTATCTTAGTTTCTAAGTATAAACTTGCTCTCACATGTCTGTAACTTTGACCTCAAATACATCTACTTAAGGATAAAAAATTTCTAAATGTTTAAAAGTAACCCAAATATCCAAGAAGTTAGAAGTGCTTTGTTGTTAGCAATACAAGAGGACTCAAAGTCTGTATTTTAGAGTTTACTTTTACTAAAACAAATAGGCTAACAAAACAATGCTGTCTCCAGAGTGAAATCATGTCGTTCACAGCTCAGTTATTACACCCCCTTTCAGAAGTGGGTTTATTACCTGTCACCTGGAGCAACTGTGAAAGAAATACTTTTATTCCATCTTTCACATTGAAGAAACTTATTAAAAGAAATCTCAGTAAAACGAACAATATTACAAAGGGGGCATAAGTAACTCTATTGAAAAGAGGGAAAAAATGAAAGAAATAAATAAAATAAGAGAGAAGCCTAGATTTTTATGTTTTTCAGTTGCATAAGGGACATTAAGCCAAGAAATGTCATGCTTATGTACAAATAGACAATAGGAAAGAATTTCAACCCACAATCTTCAGAAATGTGGAATGTTAAACTGAAAGAATAATAAAAGCAAGCAGAAAACAACTTAAAATGCTTTTAGAGTTTGTTAAATTATTATTTTATATGGCTACACTTTTTTCCTTAAAGGTATTAACCATGCTGCAACTAAAATAGAGTTGGGAGTTCAATGTAAAGCTGAATCATGCAGAGTTGGAGCGATACAGAATGTTAAGCAGCTAGCCCTAAACCTTTATGTTAGTGCTCATAGAATGGTTTTTCTAGTGATTTGATTTGGTTTGGTTATGACTTGTCATTATAGGCTACCCACCATGTCAGTGTAGGCTCTGGAAATCCGGTTACTTCAACTTCCAAAGTCACTGGAGAACCTTCCATGACAGTTACATTAGACAGGAGTCTGGAGAAATTGGGTGCCTGGCCAGTGAGGCTGACCACACTGTTCTTTGCTGATGTGCTTTTAACTTCTTCTTGGGGAACCATTTGCCTCTGGTAACCTCGGCTGGTGACTGATTGAAACCGGAGGCCTGAGAAGGCATCCAGGGAAGCATGCAGCCTATCTCGAGTTTTAGTGATGTTATCATCAGCATGCATTTTTTCGTTATTATCAGCATGCACTTTTTCCACTGGTTCTAGCAAACTTCCCTGAGCCCGAGGGTCCTGCTGTAAACCTCTGTCATGCACTTCACTCAGCATGCTCTCTGGATGTTCAGCACTGATAGTGTGTATGACAGTACTCTTTTCCAGAAATCCTCCAGAAGTTAATGGGGGTTCAGCTTTAAATTGGGGATAAGTCTTCTCAAAATGACTTGAAAATGTTTCTCTCTTATCATTGCATGCATCAGCAAAAGCAACAGGTGGTGGGAAAACAGATTCCTGGGCTTCCTCTGGACAGCTGGTGACAGTCTGCATCTCATAGCTGCTTATGTGAAGGCTGAGGGAAGAGCTGGGAGGGTCCACCTCTGCATCAGATGGTGCAAGGAGGGACTCAGGGCTTCCCGGGAGTGGAGGCAGGGAAATGTCATCAGGTGAGACACAGTCATATTCCTCTTCTGGTAGTGTGTCTTCAGGCAGGAGCAGGCTCTGGATGTTGCCTTCTTTGGCAGAGGATGGCTGCTCTAGGTCCCATGGAAGCTGATCTTGCCCTGTTCCATTGATGGCCAAAATATCTGCCACCTGTGCCTGCTCCTTCAAAATAGGAAAGCCATAGTTTCACAAGTCATTTCTTTTACTTTTTTCCAGGTTTCTGTTAGAAAGCAACTCATCTTCATAGGCACAACTTGAGAAAATTTACCATGAGTACAAGTTTAGGGGCCTTGCATAAGGATTACAGAATTTGAAACCATTTGTCTGTTTAACCTGGGTCCAGTCCCATCCTAAAAGTAAGGAATTGTTCAACTGACCTAAGTCTCTGAGTGAAATGTAATAGACCTTGTAAAACAGAAGAGAGCGAGAAAAATCCCTAGTTTTCATCTATAGCAAAGGAGTTTTAGTAAATCGATGTCTTTCAAACCATGATCTGAGGCATCTCCTCAATCAGAAATCCCTTTGTTAGGTGATCATGTGGACCTTCCCAGAATAACCCCTCTTCTGTCTCAAGAAAGCCAATCTTGGTGCAGGAGTGGTGGCACAGGCAGTAAGTGCCACTCTGCCACACTACAGCCATATAGGAAGGCCCAGGGTACAGATCCTAGGTCCTCCTAAAAATGCCAGTGTGTCTGAATGATCGTGACTGGCTAGAAGGCTGAGGGGGAGGATTGCAGTGTAAACAGACCCTGTCAGGGGTGTGTGTGTGTGTGGGTGTATGTCTCAAGAAAAAAGAAAGAAAAAAACTTAAAAACATACATTTAAAGGGACCAGCAGGTGGCCTGGTATTTGAGGTGTTGGATTCCCACATGGCAGTTCAAATTCCAGCGTTAAGTAGCTTGCTTTTTCACTTTCCCTCTCTTCCTTTCTTTTTCTCTCTCTCTGGTGAGCACAAATGTCATACAGAAAAATTAAAAATAATAATAAGTAATAAAAATAAATATTTTAGTTTAGTTTAGTTTGATGGTTAAACTGGCTGGATCCCACATGGCTAACTTTGCAGTTTGAGGCCGGATCTGAGGGCTTGGAAAACACACCAGGCAAGTGCGAATGAATGCCCCAGATCCTGAGAGGATAATGGGGGAGAAGGGATGCAGTGTGGTCACCCCACCTGGTGGGTGCATTTTTACATTCCCCTTCTCTGTCTCCCTCTCCAGCAAGTGTTCATGCCTTTGGGAAGCTCGAGGAAAAAAAATTATGTGTACATATATATTTTAAAAACCAGTTCTTTCTTCTTTTTTTCTCTTCTTTTCTTTCAGTTTGCTAGTGGAAAAGTGAACACATGCACTTGCCAGAAAGAGAAAGAGAGAGAGAGAGAGAGAGAAAGAGAGAGAGAGAGAGAGAGAATCCTCCGATAGGGTGTGGTCATGGAGCAATCCCTTCTCCATTTCTCTGTCCTGTCAAGATTTGGGACTTGCTGGCACAGATGTCTCTGACGTGTTTCAACTTGCCTGGACTGAGATTTGAGCTACATGATCAATGTGGAATCTGGCTCCCTGAAAACCACCAGGCCATGGGGTTGGCCCAATCTTTTTTGTTTTTTAATTGTGGTAAAAATGCACATAAAATGTGCTATTTTAACCACTTTTATTTATTTATTAAATATTATTTTATTTTACTTTATTTGTTTATTTTAATTTGACCAGAGAGAGACAGAGAAAGAGAAAGGGAAAGTGAGAAAGCAAGCCACCAGGTTGGGACTCAAACCATGGTCAGCCACATGGAAGTCCAGCACCGTTAACCACTATGCCGTCTGCCAGTCCCTTAACCATTTTTAAATATGCAAGCTCAGTGGCATTAAGTATACCCACCTTATTATGCGTCATCTTTTCAGCTGAAACTCTGTAGCCAGTAAAAAGTCCCCACTCTTCTTTCCCCTGACCAACCACTGGCAACCATCATTCTACTTTGTCTCTATGAATTTGACTATTCTAGGTACCTCATTTAGAGAACACCATTTTTCTTTTTAAAGAGATTTTTTTTTCCTATAGGGCACATGTGCTCACCAAAGAGACAGAAAGTAAGAAATCAACCCCTTAGGGGTGACCCACACCACAATCCCTTCTCTTCCATTCTCCTCTTGGGGTTTTCGGCACACATGCACATGCATTTGGTGTGAGTTTTAAGCTGCTGGGTCTGAGGTTTGAACTGCAGTAGACTACATGTGAGTCCAGTGACATAACCACTATGTCTTCTGTTGGTCCCAGAGAAGACTATTCTTTTTTAAAAATAAATTAATTATTTTTTACATTTTTCAACAAATATTTCCTTTACATATCAAAAATATTTTTTTGCTCATACTCCATAGTTCTTGACAGCTAATAAAACTTTCAAAATTTAAAAATACCAAATTTTAAAGATAACATTCATTATATTTCTTATAATTTTGCATAATTTTGTTTATAACTCTGTAGCAGCAGAAACAGTATGGTTTTAAATATTTTTGAGAAAATATTTACTTGTCAACTGCTCAAATTGTTGAAAAGCAAATGCCCAGCACACTAGTCCCACATAATCCTTCTCAATTCAGCCCCCCTACCAAGTATTCTGTGATACACCATCTGCAAGCAGACATCAGTCTCTTTTTCTTCCTTCAAAGTTTTTCTCAAGATAATCCTCCAGTGTGGTTGCTCTTTTGCGATCTGAACACTATTCTTAATGACTAGTTTTATTCCCTTAAAATCTGTAGGTTTCATCTTACATTGAAAAAACATTGAGCACCTACTCTATACTAGGTGCCAAGCTTGGCATTAGAGAGAGAATAGATGAGTGAAAGGAGAGAGTCTGAACTGGTGGAGATGAACAGTCAAATGTGGCTGTGAGAGCACACCCGGAGACAATGGACGAATACTGTTCACTTATCTCTCTGTCCCATGTGGAATGTAGGTCCTTCTTGGAGCTGCAAGTAGCAGTTCTTCTTCCCCAGTTTATGTGATCCTACTGTATCTCCCCGTTACTCCACATTCATCTCTGACTTCAGAAGAGTGGTTTCTTTGAGAATGCTATGCTTTACTTGTGTTAAGAATATCTTTCTATATTTAGCAAATATCTGTCTTCCTGCAATTTCCACCAATGGATTTGAATTGACCTCCTGGAGCTCCCACTTAAACAGCCTTTTGACTATTTGAAAAATCAGTGGCACAGACTCAAAAGAACATTGACGTTAAAAGTGATCTGCCACAATCGGCTTGTTTCGTATTTGCTTTCTGTGCCTTTCCTGAACAGTTTAGGTGCATTTTACTTAATTCTCATATATTGATTTTTGTTCTATAGTTACTTGTATGCACATAAGAAAGTCGTATCTTGCTTTGACTTTGAGATCTTTTCAGCTCATATTCTTGCTCCTGATATATACTTCATAAGTGATTTTTAAGAAAACAAATGTATTTCCGACTGAAGAGAAAGCAAAAATCAAATAATGATCCGTCTACTGTCTCACAGAGAACTTTTCCTTATAGAAAGCATAACTCATTATCGGGACCAGAAGTTAGCATAATGGCTATGTTGCTGGACTCCCATGAAGTCGACTGTGGTTCGAGTTCCAGACCTGGTGGCTTAAACTCACGCCGGTAGCGTGTGCATACGTGCCCAAGATCCCGAGAGGAGAATGGAGGAGAAGGGATTGCAGCGTGGCCATCCCCCCCTGGGGGTGACTTCTCTCTTTCTGTCTCTCTGTCTTTCTGGCTAACACACATGCCCTATAGCAAAAACCTCTCAAAAAATAAAAATAAAATAAAAAGAAAGAAAAAGAAAGCATAACTCATTATAAAGAAAATAGTTTATTCCAACTATTTAGTAGAAAATTAAATCCTGGATTCAAAAGCCAGAAGTTCCTTAAAGGTCTTTTTATTTAAAAAGTAAAACAAAACAAACTAAATAAACATATGTCGAGCAGGAAGTGCCCCTTATTTTGATTGTTCTATCACAGCTTAGCACAGCCTCCCCACATTCCGGCAGTAGAGTGTTTATTTTCCCTCTCAAAAAAGACTTTGATCCAACTTCCTATTCCGTGTAAGCATATAGCATTCTGGCAGTCTCTATTTGAATGCTTGTCCTAAAAGAGTGGTTTCTTTGAGAATGCTATGCTTTACTTGTGTTAAGAATATCTTTCTATATTTAGCAAATATCTGTCTTCCTGCAATTTCCACCAATGGATTTGAATTGACCTCCTGGAGCTCCCACTTAAACAGCCTTTTGACTATTTGAAAAATCAGTGGCACAACTTTTAAGTCTCTTTCTTTGTACTGAACTCCTCCAGGTCTTCTGCTTCACCTTCCAGAACTACCCTACTGAGCTGCACGATCCTTCATGGGAGCTCAATGGCATTTGTTGACTTGAGGGCCATCCGGGGGCAAGCAACTCTCTAATGACTTCTTTAGGTAATCTATGCCCCTCCACAGAAGAATTATGTTTTAAACTTTTCTAAAAATTTACAACTTGCTTAGGGGAGAAATTCAAATCAAAGTCCAGACTAGTCTCCTCATTCCTCAATCACCAAGGGGGAGAAATTTACTTATCTTAATAATGGAGGGTTTGGAAGAAGAAATTGAGTCTTTGTCGTTCTGAGGCTCTCTCATTTGGATCTGTTTCTACGGAATGGGTGCGTTCAAGTTGGCTCTAAGTTATGAGGAGCCCCTGAATGGGAAGACTATTAACTGTCCAGTTGTGCACCCAAGAGAATCGTCGGTAAGCATATCTAAATTGGAACCCTGCTAGAAAAGTCCAAGCCATGTTCTCTAATCCAGCGTTTACTTGTCACTGATTTTTATTTCTGTGTCTTACTTTCAGTTGGTGCCAACATAGGAAGAAAACCCAAGGATATTATCTTTTTTCCACTTTCTACAATTCCTAACATAGAAAAACACTTTTCATAAAAATAGCACTACCAGATAATTTCTACTGACAAAGAGAGATGGTTTTTCAAATCTTCTCTCTGAAAGCATTTTAAATTCTTAATTAATGCCCCCTTCAAAACATGTTTGTTTCTAAACTATAATTACTTCTTAGATGAGAGTGGTCAGTGGAATCATCGTCTCCTTGACCTGTAAAATATATCATTATTAAAGTGATTCAATTCTCTCTCTCTCTTTTTTTTTTTTTTT